GTGCCAGGGTAAGCCTTTGAGGGCAGAACAACAACACGCACTGAACGTGAAATACTTCGCAGAATTCCAAAAGCTCTAAATCAAAAGTAAAAGCGCTATAGAAATTATTCGACAAATGTTATTTTTGAAACTTGCTTTGGCTATATTAGTCTGTCAGCGAATTGCTTATCTTAGAAAAAGGACTCTTGAACGTTGAATTGTGAACGTATACTCCAATCTGTGATACCTTTGGATGATTATTTTAATAGCAATAAATACTGAGAGTATGTTTTGTTAGTGGTGCATACGATTTTTTTAACGAAAAATACTGGACTGTGAATGGGATAGTTCTCATAGGTCGGCCAAAAAATTTTTTTGCTATCCAACGGATTATATGTAAGTAGGGAACTATGAGCCTATTCCTCTCCTGATAAGTATTTTGGTGTTTTCGGTTGAGAAATTATCCCTGTGGGCTTAATTTACTCCTCGTATAACCCCTGTTGCTGGAAAAAAGTGGATAAATTCCGACCTTCTTAACCCCCTCAAAACCAATGATTTCCCTCGAGCCTGATATCCAGCTCAAAGAGATTGCCGTGTGCGCAATCCGGCTAATTTCGCTAATTTATGAGATGTGGCTCACCCATTCTCAGGTTATACCACTGCTGTCACAAGTGGCAGTTATCACTCATTTTGATTCTTGGTTGGAATTATAAACTCTCGGAATCTTCTCTGTCATCAGGGTTCCCTACATGCGGTCTCTTTCGTCATCCACGTTCTAATTTCCTTCCGCTGAGAAATCACCCTGTCAAAATACGGGATGTCTTTCTCTGAAATTCATGTGTCTGAATCGACATTAAACAGTAGTTACACTGGTTTGTGCACTTACATCTGACTGCCTATGAAGTGGGAATTTTGATTTGAATGATCCCAGTCCGATCCTACTGCCCTTTCCCAGCCAGTTCGCATGGAAACAGTTCCCATGCCCTTGTCAGAGCGAGCTTTTTTTCCACTCACGCTCTCATCCTGTCTCGCCCAATTGAGAAAGATCCGAACTTCTTCTTTTTGCTAATGGGAGTAGAAGCCGGCATACTTTAGAAGATGAAAGAGAAGTAACATGCAATTATTAGAATACAGTTCTCGTAAATATGGGTCGTGTGACAAAGTGTACATACTTTTTGAAATTGAGCCTCAGAAACATCTCCAACTCGAACCTCGTGGAGGGTATAGCTTTACATCAATGGGCAAAATCTCAGATGGAATCTTGTTTGGCTCCTCTACATGCCAGGTTTCGGAACTATTTTCTCATGCTGTTGCTGAAAGTTGCAAAATTTTTGTAATGACAGATCCACATTATACAGTTTGGATGCTTGTTAAAAACCAACTTGGTCGTCAGGAGCTTTTCAAAGTCCTTGAGTCAAATGTTATATTGTCAACTCTCACCGTGCCTTTTGTTGATACATTCGCAACTACAACAGTTTCTTTATTTATGCTATCTCTAAAAAAAGAATTTTTCGCTATGTTGAATTACGGCTACGATGGGGTAAGTCAGTTTGCTCAAAGTGGTAGTGTTCTTGGAAGGCTTTTTCAACATGTATCGAAAATTTCCATAGAAGATTATGGTGCTGTTGACATCGTAGGTTCGTGGGCGCTGGAGGTCCGGATTAGGTATTCCTACGATAGTAGAATCAGACGCGAATTTTCACGAAAGATTGTATCTCGCTTGTTTCGAACGTTAGTTAATATATAGCATCCTGCTCGTTTATTACGATCTTGCAGTGTGATAGGTAATCTTCTTAGAGGGTTTTCAGAGACCAAAATTTTGGTTTCAAAAGCTAATGCGAACTTCTGATTGCAAAAAGCATACTGAGAAGCATTTCTACACTAGATCTCGAGAGAGCTAGATAAAGATTCAAACTGAAGTGGCAAACATGGGCTTTGCAAATCATGCGATCTACCCTTGGTCTCATGGTCGGTGTAAATTTGCCAATAAATACAATACAGTACATAACCGCAGCGAGCACAATATAAAAGTTCGACTCGCGTTCCTGAAATAGCTGTGCAATCTTTCATTTCTTTTACTTCTGTTGGGCCTATATAGAGCGATTTCTCCGTTCATTCACAAGCAGAGAAGGCTGAAGCACCGCTTATTTTCGCGGAGCTGCGATGGATCTCTTATTTACAGTATTTTACTTCAGCAGACACGCTGATTCTTACGTCAATAACATAATAGCAACTTACATGCTAATAGTAGAACCTCTGATTCTTGCTGTTCATAATTTTCTGCTTTTTTATTCTGCATTCTGGTTTTACCAATAAATCGCTGATGAACATGGGAAAAAAGTAGTCATATTATCTCATTTTATGCCTCATTCTCCAATTCATAGATCAGGTTTGTAGATCTGTCTCGTCATGGATCATCAGCTACATCTTGCAATGTTTGCAGATAAAATTTATTGCGCTCGCTACAGTTGGCACGATCCTAAATCACTATGGCGAATTCTTTCTACCAGGTGATCTGCAAGACTGCTATTGGCTCCATTTTTCTATATACATCAAAATTGTTACAGAAAATTCTTCGATTTGGTTCCTATTTAGTGACATAAAGCTAAAGGAGCTTACCGTCAAAGAATTTTTTGTTCAATTCCAGAATACTGTAGGAACTTTCGCACAACAGTATTCAACAACCACCATGCATGACTTATCTGAACGTATCGCAGTTCCCTTTCTCCCACTTCTTTTTTTCTAGAAGTGGACAGAAGCAGCCCAAAATGCGTCGACGTTCCTGTACAGTTCGAATCGGTCTTGAGACCGAGTATCTATTTTCTTGGATAGGTCTATTTGCCTCAAAATGCCTAATGTAAGTCATTGCCCAGTAAACTGCAGCGGTTGTAGATTCGGTTTGGTAATCTTTTTTGGCTGCTTCGCAAAAATCACAGCGTGATGAATCGATTTTGATTGGAATGCATCAGAAACAATTGACTCCACTTGGCTCATTTCAGCAAGTGAACTTATAGAGTTTAGTGAGCATTATCTCTCATCAATTTATCTAAGCGGAACATGCTATCCCGGCTTATTTTCACATTTCTATCGTGACTGTTCAGAACTTGATATACGATTTTTCTTAACCCATTGACGACGACGCCTAATTTTGCGCGGCGGCGCTGTGGGACGACGCGATTTTGCACAACACTTTCATTGGGAAGGTTTCGTGCTTATTTACGAAGTGCAACATTGTTTTGTAAACAAGTATTAACATTTTCTTGAACGACAGACCCTATAGGTCCTAAGAATACAAAAAACTGGAAAAAATATACATATGTGGAAAAAATGCTAGACCTGTAAATAATACGACTTTGCGAGAGGTGTGGGCCACCGGGGGTCCACATCGTCCCTGGCAGCAAAAAGCGCGTAGACCAGCGGTGGTCCACATCGTCGTCAATGGGTTAATATGCACAACAGTTGTGCCTCCAGCTCCGTCTGTGGCCAGAGAAGGTATACTTCATTTGTCATCTCAAAAAAGCGCCTATGACGTACTTCAATGAAATTATGGTGAAGACAACTCAAAATAAGCAGTCTTCAAAAACGTCATCAATATTTATCATAAGCAGACGCACATAGACTTGCAAAACCTAGCTCACCTTATGACCACTGGCTGTTTTAAATGGCAACAAAATGCCTCGGATTACACTTTTGCGAACTGAAGGGGAAACAGTGACGTTTTTCTGATTTTGAAAGGCCATCGCCCACTTGATTCAACAGCTTATGTTAGTCGAACTTCCTCACACTGGGTAACTGTGTTTCGCCTTTACTCTCAGTTGCACACTCCTAACGAAGTCGATGTGGCTCAAACAGGAAGCTGTGGTTAGGTTATACTTTGATTTGTCAAAACTCTAACATTTTACATAACTATCAATGACTAAAATTTTTAATGCAATTTTTTACGTTGAGCTTTTCGGGTACAGCTTCCCCTCAACCCTTGTTGCTGGTACATTGATGAAGTGGAATTTCTACCGAATTTTTCAGATAAGGTTTGAGCATAAATGAATTTGGATTAATCATATCACATTTGTGGTAGAAACGTGACGTAGCAGCATTGTTTACAGTACGTAACTATTAGTCGCGTTGTGCAGTAAGTGGCTATTGGGACGAACAAGTTGATCTTTGATGCTGTAAGCTTTCAGAACAAATTACCTATTTTATTGTCTTTAGTTATTATCGCGCTCGGCTTTACATCTTTTAATCGTACTTGAAGCATAGGCTGAAGAATGCTGTTGAATTTGCAGACTCCGTCGGATTTTCTTAGATGACCTTTAAAATTATGCCCATTCTCCGCGCGATTTTTGCAGCCAAGTGATCTGGAAATGCTCCAAATAATGAATTATCGTAAAGGCAGTTTGAGCACTATATAAGGTGTCCCAAAAGCGAGTATACACTGTTTGATCGTTGATATCTCTCTTCTCTAAAAATCGCCCACCTTTTGGCGCTATTTAGTAGAGCTAGCTTAAACTTAGATCTATGGTATCGAGCAAATCAACGATCTTTGCTCATTAATGTGGGATTACGGTAGGGACTTCAAGAAGGATTTTGAGCCATTGAGGGCCGTAATTTGCCTCGGATAGAAAACCAAACTATCTGAAAAATTTCACACTAAACTAATTAGATTGTTGATTCTGAATATGAAATTTGCATTTCACAAAATATTTCGTTGAATAGAAGCCAGATATAGGGTAGCAGCCGTTGTTCCCTAAAGAATTTGATTGAACTATTTAGAAAACTTCACAGTCCTGTGCAAGATTAAGTGTTAAAACAGCGTGCTCAAAAACGTTGGTACAAATGCAGTTCTATAATCGAATATTGCGAGGTCTTTACCAATGAGGCAAAGGACATATGCTTTGGGGTAAAACGAATGTATTTGTTTGCGAAAACTTGGTTTTCTCGTCAGAAACCGTGCGAGATTCAAAAATGAGTTCAGACATTCTAGGTTAAATCTACTAAATGGTATGAATGTTTATTTGTGTCAGAATGGCGCGGATGGCGAAGCGGCAAAAGCGACGGACGTGCCGTTGCTCAAGTCGTCACGAGAGACGGAAGCGGCGACGGCGGCGGCCACCGAACGGTCGCGGCATTCCGCCGACTTCTACCGCAATCTGCGCACAACTGCTACGGGCGCCATTGTCATCACCCTTCTGATCGCAACGTCATTATTCTTCTACTGGCGGTTTTCGAGTGAGTTTTTACTGTTTGTAACTGAAATAGTGGTCGCTTTGCGCTACAGTATGACAAATTGCTACAGTATACCCTAGGTGCCTTCTTGTCAATCTACGAAATAAAATCTAACTATGCGTTGTCCACCACTTGATATGCTTGTAACGTCTACTAAACTGCTCAAATCCTTTTGACTGCGATAATTCAGTACCGTTTACCATGATTCCACGTTTTTGCTGACGTCATGGTTAACCCATTGACGACGACTCCTAATTTTGCGTGAGGCGCTGTGGGATGACAGGGTTTACAGACATGAAAAGCCCCTAGATTACCCCGAGTACAAAAATCAAAAAAAATGTAAGCGCGAAAAGGATATGCTTCTGCAGGAGGTGTGAGCCATCGGTGGTCCACATCGTCCCAGGAAGCAAAAAGTGCGTGGGCCACTGGTGGTCCACATCGTCGTCAATGGGTTAAACACATCTGTTTACCTCATCAACACTTCTTATATCGCCGGCTCAGTATGCTGGCCAAATCATTCATCTTCCGCAACTGAATCATCGAATATCTCTGCTCGTGGTCGAAGACTGAAAGCTTTTTATGCTTGTTTCGAGCTCAAATACAAATTGAGTAGAATAATGATAGACAGGCTATGTAAATGACATCCGACGCAAATTTTTCTTCTTCTTCGCAGCCATGCTATCGTTCTGATTTCATCTTCTTAAAGCAATTCAAATCAACTTTTTGGCTTGTTCAACCTTAGCTGACTTTCGAAACTTTGGCATCAGAGGCTGAACGATATTTGGTAACAGCAGGTAGTGCGAACCTTTCTGGTGGGACCCTTTTTTCAGTCTTCTCTGATGGACCCTTCAATTATTCAAACGTTCTGAAAGCCCTCATTCCATTAGAAATTGTGCGAAACACGGTCCTATCAAAAAAAAAGGAACTCGAAACTTGAGCGGGGGCACTTGGCTATTACTTGACCTACCCTCACTACTGATGAGATCCGAGAAAGACCGTTTCTTAATCTAATTTCCGTATTGTGAAAGGATCGAAACGGAAATTGGATATACTTTGGTTTTATCTTTTTATTTATATTGACCTAGCGATAGCAAGTGAGCGCTCACCACTACAAAGAATCATCATATTGAAATCTTCTGTATAATCATATCATGCGCAGCTGAAAGAAAAGAAAAAGTGTAAAAGTTCGGTCAAGCACTCGTATTCTTTTGTCAGTTATAGGAGAATTTATTTAGAAAGCTATAGGGAGATGAAAAACCTGGTTCAAGTATGTTCAAAACTTGTCGTTCATTGTTTATCGGTTTGTTAACAGAACCAAAATGAAATGGAAAAGTACATCACATACTTCTAGCTCACCCTTATTCAAATATTGTTAATTAGCTAAAGCCATCGTCAAAGGTCATTGCTTTCTTCCAATGAAATGTTCCCCAAAAAGCTAGAAGGTCCTACGAAAAATATGTGTATCTTTGCGTATTTGAAACTAATTTTAAAGTGATATTAAAATATAATACAATGCACTGTAATGAGTGCAACTTTTTCTTTGAAGATATAGTATGCCCGCAACCTTAAAACAGCGAATTTTATGAGACAAAGTGAATGACTTTTGAGAATGATATCCGCATAAAAGATTTTCCTACTCTCTGTATCAATATCTGGAAAAAACCGAACTAATTTTGATTTGCGTAGGTTTGATGGGGGATAAGAGGGCTCAATCAGTAACAAAGGAACGGAAGTCACGAGAGCCAATTTCCCACGCGGCTCACTAAGGTGGGAGAATGCACTGTTCTAGCAAAGGAGATGTGAATTTTGTCCCAGACAACTTGTTGAAGAACTACAAAATTGTCTCGTAAGACCATAAGAAAGTGCAGCGCGGCTGGGTACCTTCTAGTCATTAACAATATCCCTGTGGGAATAATTTAATTTGTTCTTGAAAGTTCTCTTTGCTGTTCCCCACACCATTGCAAAGATCTTATATCAAACATCACACTTGGTAGCTTGATTGTGATTTTTTCATGCTGAGCAAGTGTCTTGCAATGTTTGTTTGGTGCAGGTGCTTATTATTTTGATCCTAACTATACAATTGTTGCCTTGTCAGCTTGCAAATACCCAATCTGAGCCAATATTAGCCACCAGGAATCATGTGCTAGCTTAACTTTGCAAATCGAAACAATGTGAGAACCATTGCTTCATCAGAAGATTCGCTCCAGTGAAGGCTTCGTCAAAAAAGAGGAAATTTTGGTGCCATTCCGTATAGAGTTGACTTCAACTTAGATTTACAGTATGGAGTGAAGTAAGCCTGTCTTCATTGCTGTAAATTTCGGTAGAAACTTTGAAGGGTTTTCAGTCATTAAGGCTCATATTCTATACCTAAAAAAGAAGCAAAGAAGCTGAAGACTCTCACACCAAGTCAAACGGAGTCGCTGCTTTTAGGTATGAAACTCGCAAATTATCGTAATACTATGTACCGCAACAACCAATTACGCCATTCAAAAAGCTCTGCGAAAGCGCAAAATGATGATTTGATTAGCATGCATGAAAATCTTGTTACACAATTTTTCAGATAATTTTTTCGACACTTGTCTTTCCAAGGCGCAGCTCACACTGGCGCAATATGATCCTACCGTAATCCTATAATAATGAAGAGAGATTGGTGATTCTCTTATCGCGGATTTAAGTTGAAGCCAGCTCTACAAAATGGTTTCTTAAATTTCTTGGAAGACTTCGTGACAAAAGAGTTATGAACAATCAAGTGTAGGCACATCTTTTGGGACACCCTGTCTATGTTGCAAGGTCATCTTCATTGGAACATTTTTCAAAAGTCCATGGAATTCCAACTCAACATCTCAATTCTAAATGAGAAGTGGGATTAAGTAGTGTAAAAGTGTTTCAAATCCTTGGGCTGACACTGAAATCAGCAGTACGAAAGCGTAACAAATCGTTTTCTTGTGCCATGTGTAACAAATAGATCATCAGCACAGTACCCATAATGACGTTTAACTACCTCAGGACAAAAATGATTTGAGATTTAGTGCGTTAAAATGTTGAAGGAAATGAACTAGCGTAATCTTCAAAAAGCTGATTTTTTAACATTGTAATCGTCTGTCATGAACTAGCGTAATCTTCAAAAAGCTGATTTTTTAACATTGTAATCGTCTGTCATTCCTCGTAATTTAAAATTCCCTGGAAATGAACTAGCGTAATCTTCAAAAAGCTGATTTTTTAACATTGTAATCGTCTGTCATTCCTCGTAATTTAAAATTCCCTGATGGAGAGTGGACCAAGAGTTAGCAATACCTCAAAAAGTTCATGGGCTAAGGAGTCACTTATGAGGAAGTTTTACAAAAATGTTTTGCGTCTAGTAAGGCTTGCATAACCCGCTGGCACGCTAGCGTGATTTTTGACGAGATAGTGTAATCTGGAAAAGGTCTTTGTTAAGGCTGAGATACGGTATGCTTCTGTTTTTTGAAGCTATTTATTCACAACATAGAACGAGGACAATCCGATTATATGAAAGGCACCTAACCCAAGTAATAGCGCAGTAATCACAGCCTGGACTTCATTACGCTACAACCTTGAGACTTGAATAGCTTTGGCAACGCCCCTTATCAATGTTCTCCGTGTTGCTGCTCAGTTATGCTGTTTTCCTAGAAATTCGTTCCGCATTGTCAATCTTCACATTTGGCAAAGGTATCAAAGTTATTTGCATATAAAGCTTGACACTTAAAATTAAAGGAATATTCTTACCCACCAAAAAAATTAGATTTCCATATTTTTCAGAATGCTCTACGCAACAATGCGTTCGAACATCTTCTCGATTACTCTCCAACATGGACTCCTCATACGATCCATGTGTAGATTTCTACGATTATGCTTGTGGCCAATGGATCAACAACTCCGTCAACCTCAACTACCCATCGTGGAACGTGCTCTACGAGACGAATATGAAAGCACACGACAAATTAGTAAACGCCATGCTCAAAGGTTGGCTGTATATCTTAGTTCTCCAGTGGTTGTTTCTCCAATAACGCTCCGCTGGCGCAGGAACACTAGCTTAGGATTTGATAAAGCAATTTGCGAACTTAATAATGCTGAGCATAAAATTATCCGCAGATTGGTTCTACCATTGGCTGCCTACTAGGGTGAACTCTTTCACGGGGAACGATGCCAGCAATGGACTGGGATGAAAGGCACATCCTTAGATCCGTTTCAATAAGCTGGCTCCAGACCTACCTTCTTTGTCTGCTGAGCTCTTCTTCAAAGAGGCCATGAGCGGCTAAAGATGAGAAGTTATCGAGGTTCTCATGCAAATTGCATAATTAGCATGATATTGAGTGTACTGACCTACATAGAATCATGCACACACCAGAAAATGTTTTATTGTTCAAAATCATTTGTTCAAAACATAAATGTTTTGAAAAAATGATTTTTGAAAATGTGGCAATGATTGTCTGCTATGCTTGGTCTTTCAAACAGTCATAACTCTTTCAAAGAACCGCTCAGTGGATAGTGGATACGGAAGCTAGATTCGGAATCAGTTCAACAAGACGCATCTAATGATAAGTATTTTACCGCAGATTGCTTAGGCAAATCTGGGCAGCTGAATAGTTGTTTATGTGGATACTAAGAGTGTGAAATCTCCATCGCGTACTGTCTAGGCTGCACCTTGTAGTCTAAACCAAGTCTTAAAATTCCAAACTTCAACCCAGTGCGTACTTCCGCGCCCATCCATCTTCGTATAGGTATGGTAGAAAAAACATTGTGAAGTTTAGAGTAGTTTGGAGTTTAGAGTAATTCTCTGCACGAGTGTATCTTGAATGTTGGCCTGCAAAAATGTATTCTCCGTTGAGTGAGGCTTCTTTTGAAATGCATAGCAATTTTGATTATACTATCAACACCTAGAGCTCAGATGTTATACTTCCAGCTGCAAAAATCACAACCTTGGGCCCCGGTCAGACTTCACGCGACTTAATCGTCGCGATCTAATCGCCAAGATTTCCATTCATTTTCATTTCACATTCAAAAATGTCGGGATGGAAAAGTATCATAACCGAATGCAAGTTGATCGGCATGGAATGATGTTGTAACAGTTGTCTCGTCGCGACTTGGTCGCGACGATCAAATCGCGTGAAGTCTGCCCGGGGCCTTAGACTAATTATCATTTTCGCTATGGAGAATTGCTATCGTCAAATTTTCATATGACCCTTCAAGGCAGTACCGCACAACTGTATGCATGTTTCAGTGATGGATGGTGATTCTTCCATTTCCCTAAATCGAGGAGAACGTGCAGCGATAGAACTCTTTCGACAATGTACCGATATGGATAAGTTGCGCATGATCGGCATGAACACATGGCTCCGATTTGTTGAGGTTTGAAAATTTTGTTATAAAGCCCTAACAGCTGTTATAGCTTTTTCCGAAAAAAGAATCGGAGAAGGTTTGTAGGAAGGTGCTCGAAAAATATCTCGTGATTATGATTTGAAAGCGTACTTTACTCAAAAACAACTTGTTTTAAGCGCTAAAGGTTTGAGGATTAAGTTCAAGCCTTCCTAATACTGACGCTAACTGTCATATGCTTTCCTAAAAAGTCAACGAAATACATTGTCACGTCTTCTGACATCATAAACAATGTGATACAAATCACAATAATGCCAGTGATACCTTTTCCACCGGTATGATAAGATAGAAGCAAAAAGTTTTCTGAAGATCTTAGTCACATAGTAGCACAATGCTTGTATTCACCTGCAGCGAAATCTATGTTGCAAGAATGGCATTCTAGTAAAAGTACATTACCGTAAACAAGATCAAAAAGGTACGCTAAAATATCACAATCTTATCTCTGCAAAATTATTGTTTGTACTAAGTGGTGAAATGCTATAGTGTAGGCTTGCAGCTAATTAGAGTAATGGAATAACTTGACATTCAAGGAAGTGCTATGTTTAGTGTTCAGACTATACGTTGAGAAAAGGCTTTGTTTCGCACGAGCAGCCATGAAATGGAAGACAAGCGTAAAATTCGAAGACGTAAAAATTCGCTTTGTAGTTATATTATGCACAGTGCGCTTGCGTATAACTAACCTAGGCCGAAGAAAAGTATTTTTTTCACTGCTAAAATAGTTTCTGTGAAGCACTTGCCAGACTTCGCTCAAAAGCGCTCAAAAGCGCCCAAATCTCTTTAATTCTTCACATTTCTCATCTCAACTCAAGCACTTTCCGCGCTGGCGTTACGGTGCTTTTAGGAGGAGATGAAGAGATTTAGAGAGATTGAAGAAATTTAAAGTGCTTCTGAGCAAAGGCATGGATGCCTCGCAAGTTGCTTTCTTTCCTTCTCTATTTAGACATAAATTTTCAAAACTCATCTTTCAAGGAACTGTATATTAGCTCAATTGAAAGGTCTCTTTCGTTGCAATATCATCGATCAAAGCACTGTACAAAATACTTTGTTAGACTTTCTCAATAAGCTCGCAGAGATTCTTTCTTTGCATAGTCAACGTATCGAATAAATTGGGGAAGATTCGATTGAGAGAGGTTTAATTTGCGATTATAGTCATCGCTGATTAATATACAGGGTGTCCCAAAAAAATGTATCCACTGATTGATTGCTAATAACTCTCTTATTAGAGGTCTTTCGAGAAGCGGTAAGCGCCATTTTGTAGAGCTGGCTTCAACTTAGATTTACAGTATGGAGCGAATCACACATCTCTCTTCATTACTGTAGGATTACGGTGGAAACTTCAAAGAGGGTTTTAAGCCAAAAAGGCCATATTTTGCCTCAGAAAGGAAACAAAACAGCCTGAAAACTTTTACTCTGGGCTAATTAGAGTTGCTGATTATAACTATAAAGCTCCCAACTAATTATGATGCTTCGTTGAAGAGTTATGCCAGGTAAGAGGTAGCGGTCATTTTTCCAATGTTCCTAACAATGCGGTTACACCGTAGAAAAAGCTTCGTAATTTTGGAAATGGTTGAGTATTGAACTCAGCGTCCACAAAAACCCTATTGCACAAGTTTTTACATTTTTTTTGAAAAATTTTGAAATGGCGGCTCTTTCCACATTGACACCATATGTTTCAAGTTTCTACCATAATTCCACAGTAATGAAGAGCGGTCGGTGATTCGTTCTATACTGTAAATCTAAGTTGAACCTCGTTCTACAAAATGGTACCCAAAGCTTTCCGAAACACTTCATTACAAGGGAGTTCTTTACAATCAAACAGTGGATACATTTTTCGGGACACCGTGTATATACATATTACATATTGTACATATTTATTTATTTATCGTGATTTGTAAAATAACACAGCAATTATTGAATTTTAAGGAGCTTGGTGGATGGATGCGAGAGCTCGAGCAAGATGTCAAACCGGTGCCTCTTGAGCTGTCTGTGCTGCAGGCTTTCAACTACTCCGTATTTCCTTTGTTCTGGGCTGGTGTTGAAGTCAACTATCTTGACTCCAAAACTCATCTTATTACGGTACTTCTTTATTGTTCAGTCCTTCAGTTCGCTTTGCATAAGCATCATTTCTAGATATACGAACAACTTCCTCTACTTCTTAATCCGAGCGTTTACCAGTTTGATAGGCCAGTCACTGCTAGAATGATACTGAACAAGGAAGGCCCTCAGGTAAATACAGACAGAAAGAAGCACTCTTTCAACAGATTGGCTTTTAGGCAACCTCCCTGCTTCTTGAAACTGGCGAAGAAATGGCAAATCTTCTCGGTTTTGACAGATCGTCACCATCTGTTCGGATGCTTCTGGCTAGAATGATCGAGTTGGAATGGAGGATCACAGTCGGCGGTAGCAGGGTATGTAAATTCTTTTTGAGCACTTAGGGATGGGAATGAGTGAAGTGAAGATTAATTAAGGGACTTTAACAATTGTTTTTTTTAGTTCTACAAGCAGAGGAAAGAACGCTATGAAGTGATTTCCATGGCCGAATTGCAGATGCTAGCTCCCGCTGTGAGTATGCATATCATCTGTCATCTCCTAAGTTGCCAACAGCTGGTTATCTCAGATTGACTGGAGGCTGTTTCTATCGTCGTTAACCGGAGAGGACTTATATGCAAACGAAAAAATTGCATTAAAAACGGGTCGGGAGTGGCTGATCAAGCTTTCCCAAATTCTGATGGAGTACCTGGAAACCGAAGGGGGACAAGCCGTCGTCAGGAATTATATCAAGTGGAAGACGTTATTCTTCCATTTAGCCTATGTGAAACCGAAATGTCGTGATGGCTTGTTATGGGTACGCATTTTTTGTACTTGGACCATCGTGACTAGGGGACAGGAAAGCGGATGAAACATACACTTGAGTTACAAGTTCGTGTTGTTCCAGAGTCTTGTTGAAATCTACTCGGGCCCTCCTCATCTCCGTAAAGAGTTCTGCATAATGCGAGCATCAGGCATTTTCCCTTTATCCCTGCCGTCTATACTTCGCAAAATTGACGGAGAAAAGAAGGCCAGGGATGTGAGTGCTAACATTTCTAATGTATTTCCATCAAGGGCCAAATCATGCTACCAGTTTTTTCAGAACAGGAACATGGTTGATCAGATTGCTACTAATGTTATTGGAGAGTATAGAAAAATACTGGAGTCGAGCAATGTCTTGGACAACGTTACTTCTGTTATTGCCTTGCAAAAGGTACGAAAATGGCAAAGCTAGTTGGTATGAAAATACAAAAAAAATTTTTTTGCAGCTCTCCAATATGTCTATTCTGATTAGCTATCCTGACAAACTCGACAGCGAATTGGCAATGGAGAAAGAAGCAGATCGGGTAATGCACCCAAGTTTATCGAGATTTTAGTAGTATAGCATCAAATCTGCAGATAGCAAACGAGCTTTTTTGGTCAATGGTTTTTGGAGCTAGCGCCGTTTACAGAGAGAAAATCAGAAGATTGCGCAAGCCGGTAAATCCGAGGTTTGTGAAAATTTGCACTGCTTTTTGTTACAATTTGCACTTTTCGTCTTACATTGCTCCATTTTCAGAGACTGGGTTGACACAAAACCCGCCCTATCCTCAACACCGATTCATAACTATGAACGGAATCTTGTACAAATTCCCTTCGATGTGGTTCGAGCACCTATCGCTGACACCGATCTCATTGAGTTAGTTGGAAGTAATGGTTCTTCCTCCTGCGTAAATAATCTGAAAAATCTTTAGTGTCGTGAGCTACGCATCAGTTGGATCAATCATCGGACATGAGATCACACACGCTTTTGACGAGCAAGGTATTTGCAATCCACATTTTTTTCTATCTTCTTGAGCCGGCACTCCCTACCGCACCGTACTAATAGCGCATGACAATCCGTTGCTGCTGTTCCGGAGCCGTGCCGGCGCCGTGCCAGAACCCGTCACTCGCCGTGTATTGATTACTCGACGTTTCGGCATGGTTCTAGCAAGCACTGGCATGGTGTTGGTATGGGTAACTGTGGGCGCACCTTGAGTTTGTCAGCTACTGGATGATCGATTTGCTTGAATTTAAAAAAAGCACGAGTACTCCCAAGTTTGGTTGCAATTTCGAACTTGCATTTTCACGATTATACATCGATTTGTCAGCTATTACGAGCTTTTCAGGTAAACTCCACGGGCCCACCGGAAATCTCGGTGAAGATTGGTGGTCTACCGAATCCAGACGACGTTTCAAAGAGCGTGAACGCTGCTACATTGAACAATACGCTCGACTGACTAGCAGCGATGACGTGAGTGCTATTTACTTGCTCTAGAACACTGCTGACCAAATCGCGCCAGCAATGACCCTAGGCTTGTGCGCATCCTAATTGGAGCTTCAATAGAGCATTGAAATCTGCGCGCAAAGATGCACAGAGACTCTGAGAGAAGTGCTGCTAGTGTCACGTCACCTCCTTCCAGCAATGCGCCTAATTGGGCTCTATTATGATGCGGGCAAGTGCGACACTGCTCCAAGAGGAATGAAATGCGCAAGCAGAGGGAGATGACAACTTCACTACCGTACTCTTTTCAAAATGCCTATAACAAAATATTCCCGTTTGCGAGAACAGTTGGTGAATCGGGAGGACCTAGCGTGATGGAACCACATAACATTTGCGAATGCACATTCACGATCTGGTGGTTGTTTTATCTAGGTTTTGCCTGTTTCCAAAATCTTGAGGTTAAGATATTGGAAGAAAGAGAAGTAAAAGTGATTCACTGATTAGTCAACGTCGGTGCATAGCTATCCTTTTCGCTCTCTAGAAACATCCTTTCCTTTTCGATAACTATTTGTGTAGAGCATGCGTTTTGAATTCCCTTAATCTGTAGTGTTGTGTTTACAACTGAATGCAAGCAGCTGTTTTGAAGGCTAATAACATCAAAGCAGAAAATTTGATAGTAAACATATGCTGCAGCCGAAGGACTTGAAAGGGAGGAAAATAAAGAGAACGTGTGTAATGTATCCTATGATTGTTCTCCACGGTCAACAGTATCTAGTCTGCACGGGAAAGGCATGAGATGGCAATCAGAGAACTAAACCACTAGCCACGAGACACCACGAACCATGTGTTGCCTTTACAATGTCGCTTTGGTATCACCACGCACACAAAACATGTCATACCGCTGAGAGCTAAATAAATAGAAATAATAATAAATAATAAGCTAAATAATAATAAATAGCTAAATAAACAGCTATATAAACTTTAAACTTTTAAGGAGCTCCAGTTCTCTATCCTGTGCCTAATCGCGTTTGAACACGTTAAAAAGGCGTGCAAAGAGGTGTAGGCCAGGGTCCGGCACGCGTTGGTTTGGAGGTTTTTAGGAAACGAAGTCCCTCATGACTTTGCGAAGAATTTCGAAGTCCCTCTCGATTTGAAAATCAGTAGGGGAACCCTTATCCAACCAAAATAGCAACAAAAAAGTGAAAAAAGCGCATTTTGAGGTATGTAATATAACAAAAAAACAAAAAGAAAACATTTCGAGTCGATTAAAGGCTCTGCCATTGGGTACAGTACCATTTTGATGCTGGGAATGTCGAAAATCTCCTAGGCCAACCAAATCTGTAGCCTCAACAATCCTGCGATGCATTTTTCGCCACATAATTCAAAGGACACCGCAAGTGATTGGAGCGCGATATCTATCAACGCATAGAATTACTACTTTTAACTCAAAAAAAGGGGAGAGGCAACGGTTTGATCCGCTCTCTTCACTATATAATAGATTTTAGACCGTTCTAATCGTCTAAATCAAAAAGGTCCAAAACTTATGTGAACTCTCCGATATTTATGCTCCGAACCAACCCAGTTGGTTTGGTAGTTGGTCTCAAAACCAACAAATCCGAGAACGGATATTAGGACACATAAGTTTTGGGAACTTTTTATATAACATAGTTTGGAGTAATATTGTATACACATAGCCCAAATTCGGAGCCATGTGATTGTTTGTGCGCTGTAAACAAGTCATTTGTTTGTTTGAGTCTTGCATTTGAAATTCGCGCGCTTGCGAAAGAACCCGCTCAACTCGTGAAACCTGACATGTTCGTCGTGTTTTTTTTTGACGCTTCCTCCAGGACCTCATAAAAATGATGTCCCCGTTGCTTCTAACTCCAAAAACGAAGTCCAGTTTGACCCCAAACCATCGGTGCCGGGCCGGCGCTGCTTATTGTGCAGACTAACATTACAGCTTCAAATTCTTCTAAAAGTTAGTGTTCAAATAATTCATCAAGTTCTTTTCGAAATTAGTCCAAGCAGTACAGGTTTTCCCTTGACCCTGCAAGTATGATATCCAGCGTTTGAAAACGGCACGTTTCGTGTGATACTACTACTCCCGCGCAACCATTTACAGAATATGCATATCCATCAGGTACCCTAATTTCACGCGTATAAGACGCACCTTTTTCGGTTTTTCAAGCGTGCCGTTCAGCCGCCTCGCTGTGCTTCGGAAAAGAGACTTATGCCGCACGATACTCTCAGGCACTATGCAGCACTTTAAATAGTTTTTTGGTCGAGAGGTCCTTCGACGTGTCTGTGCTGTACGACTTTGGAAAAAAACCCCGCGTACTATACGCGTGAAATTAGGATACTTATTCTGTACTAGCGGTGAGACCTTCTGATCAAAGATATGTCAACTGAACACTGGTTCATGAAATATCGCCGACTCTCCGATGTGCGTTGGGCGGAGCATTTGCAGACATTCGAACACGTTGATGAACTTGTCCCTCTACTGCAAGGCATTGTTCCTTGTAATCTCTCATTACCAATTCTGCCACGTATGAGAACAGCATATATACGTGGCAGTTTAGGGAGTACAAAAACCATATCATCCCCTCCACAAATCGTGCTACCCTTGTGGCGTCGCGGACGTGCCACGTGTGACTAACACACTGGCAACGTTGGCAGCAACACTTTGGCGTGGCCAAAATGTTCTGCCAACATGTTGGGGCATGTTGCAAACATGTTGTTGCCACATTGCCAACATGTTAGCCACACGTGGCAGGTCTGAGACGTAGACCAAGGGTAGCACGATCTGCGGAGGGGACGATACTTTGCAGTAGAGATTTGACAGGGTGTGGTGCGGAAGGCGACAATCCCCAATTTTGTGCCTATCAAAAACTCTCCGGTGTCAAAGTGACATCCCGGGGGACTACGGGGGTGGGGGGTGGGGGCAGATACATTACTCAATGCCACAAGTAGAAATCCGTGAAAGTCATTGAGACGGATGATACACAGCCTCCATTTTTCGCCGATTGTCGCCTTCCGCGTGCCCCCCGATTTGACAAGTCACCAACGCGTTCAGATGTCTACAACGCTCCGCGTAACGTACGCGGGGGTGGGGGGGGGGAGGGAATATCCTACTCGCATGAGAAGCGCTACCTAAAAACGACTATCTGCCTTTGACCGACTCAATCAAAAAAGATCACTTGCACAGACAAGCAAGGTTCCATTCTGAAGGGAACATTTTTTTCATGAGAAACGAAAAAAAGCTGAGAAAGAGAAGGATGATGTCCGTTAATCGACTTTGGAGCAAGCTCTAGGTCATAAAAGCTCAAATTCCCACATACCAGAGAAGAGCAATCTTTATTGGGCCAAAGCGTGCTGAGAAAGCGGCGTACGAAGCGTACGCCGCGTACGCCGCTTTCCTAGCGAAGTCTGGACTAACCCTCAGCTAACTTTGTACTCTAATCAGTTCGACTAGCTTAGCTGGACTGAAGAATTCACCGACTTGATCCAGCTATTGAGATATTATTTTGAGACAGCGTACACCATAATCGTATACCGTAGGTGTAGCTCAAGTACGAGTGCACATTATTAAGAAGAATAAAATGCTTTATAAGCTTATACTTAGATGGCACCTTTATGAAACGCTAAGGCAGTGCTTGTCCCTAATCGAAGGCTCACCTTAATTTTTCTGAGTTCAAAGATTATCTAGAATCTGCAAATAGCTGAGGTGCGAGCACTATGTGCAGGCAATGAAGGCAAAAACAGAGATGATGGCGATGGCGTATCTGCATTTGCGAAAATGTTTCAGGAAACTGAGTCTCGGACATCCTTGTACGAGAATATTGCTGATAACGTTGGATTGACAGTTGCTCTCCAGGTATGAAATTTGACTATATGAATGAATGAACAAGAAAAAAGCACATGCTTTGAGGCCTGGCGGGCGAACAGTGAGCAGTCGTATTGGAAGCTTTCCGGACTGGATTTAACTCGTGATCAGCTATTCTTTCTTGGATACGCACAAAGCTGGTGCGCTTTAAAGAGCAAGCAGCAACGGGGTGTACACATGATGGAAAAATTAAGGTCAGTTTCTGGCTGCTAACTAAAAGGCGACGAAATTTACAATTTTTAATACAAAACTTTGCTCGGGAAAAACGTGCTATTTCTAGGGTGATTGGTGCTCTACAAAATTCTGCTGATTTTGCGACTGCATTTTCTTGTCCAGCAGGTTCACCTATGAACCCAAGCCGAAAATGCGTCTTGTGGTGAACAAAAGTGGTTTATTACTTGATTCTTACCATATCTATTAAACTCTCGTCTGTACTTGTAAAGAGCTTTGAAATTCGTCTTCATGTGCCATCTCTTATAGCTACCACTAACTAGATCTCATTTGATAAAGCTATTTTTATTCCGGAATCAGATAGCCATAGGCCATCTTTTTGTATCTTTTATGTGTCACTCTCGTAATTCGCTGTACATTTTGTCTCCCTCTTCCCACCCATATCTTTACTATTTCGCCATATGTTTCTTCTGAGAAGTACTTGTTGATGAATAAAACACTACTTTTCGGGTCTCTTACGTCCCTTGAGGTGCTACGAATGTGGAACGTGTATAAAGCATTCAAAAATCGTAACGATGGCGCGACCGCGCGCGACACGCACGCACCCCCGGCGATCGCGTTTTCTTGGTTTGCATCTCTACTCCAAGGTTTTGGCCATACTTTACTCGTGTTGCTAGTGTTACTAGTGTTACCCGTGTTACTAGTGTTACTCGTGTTACTCACCAAATGAGATTGCGCTTTAGAATGAGACTGCATTTACGATTATTTACTACACAACAGCAATAAAAGCGGTAACACTAGTAACACGAGTAACATGAGTAACACTGGTAACAAGGGTAACATGGGTAAAGTATGGCCAAAGCCTAAAGTTTTTTTTTGCTTACTTATGATAGTATTTAGATAGTGGAAGTAACTGCAGAGCGTTGAGGTGATGCCTTTTTAGTGTTTTATGCTCCTGTGAGCGCAAAAACCGCAGTCAAATCCGTCGTCACGATTTCATGAATGACCTATAGCAGTCACTGCTTGCACGTGGGTGGAAGAAATATACGAGCTTGGAACGAATATGGCATATGAAGGATAGATGAACATCTGACTACAGCTACAATCAGGAACAACCATGCGCTTGTAGGGAGTACAGTCAATGTGGTATGTTCCAGTACGCTATCAATAATACATGTTGTAGTACACAGCCGTGTTTATCTGTTGCATGTCAATCAATTGAAATATCCTAGACATTTCGTAAAATAAGAAATACAAGAGATAATACCGTATAATAGGTAAAGTGGCAATCAGGAAAGGAAAAGTGAAACAAACAAACAAACTAAATCGATCCGTGCATCCTATTATTAGTGATTGATGAGTTTCGAGGAAAGTTTGTGGCCTATTCAGCCAAATCATCCAAGTGTGGAACAAAACGACATAATCTGAAATCTCACAGATAGGGCCTCCCATCAGATAAGTCCGTCTCCACATTCCTGACTTATCCGGCAGTCTCGGTCTTATGTGACAAGATCTTAGGGTAGTTATATTAGGAAAAAGGGACTTATTTGTAGGGCGGACTTTCTGAAATACGGGCTTACGTGTAAGGTTTCAGGGTAATCGAAACTTAGGTTATTTTTTTAAACCAACATGATGATGTGCGAGAAAACCAATTATCCCAGCTTGTATATACAGGGTGTCCTAGAAAAGAGTTCTTACTGTTTGTTGATAACTCGTTTGCCACTAAGTCTTTCGAAAAGATTGAGGTATAACTATGTGGAGCTGGCTCCAACTTAGATCCACGGTATAAGGCGAATTACCATTTCTCTTTATTAGCGTAAGGTTACTGGAACTTTGAAGGGGTTTTGCGTCAATGAGAGACATAGTTTATTCCTAGGAAGGACTAAAAAAGCTGAAGACTCACAATAGCTTAACCAGGGTCGCGGGCATAGGTGCGATAGTGTGAGAATTTGCTCACCCTCTTTTCACCCCTGAACCGAGACCAAGGTGACCCCCTTCACCAAAAGCCGAGAAAAAATAAAAAAAGAAAAAGTCAGGTAAGGGTAAGCAAATGAGGTATTTGTACAGGAATTGTTTATGTATCGGAAAGGAGGAAGAAGATTTATAAGGATTCACGAAATTCCAGAGGGAAAAAAATAGTAGCTTCTGTAGTTGCACATCAACGTCAGCGAGGGAAGTTCCGTGGAACAACGTTCCCCTCTGGTTTCAGGGAATAAATGACTTGAGAGTCCGTTCATAGAAGTACCCTATTTTCAGGTGTATAAGCCGCACCCTTTTCAATCTAAAGGCGAACACGCCAAAAGACTGACTGTCATCATGGAGCGCGTTAAGTAGAGCAGTATGCGATAAGGCGACCGCTTCGCGAGACATATGCGCGGCGGCACGCCTGGGTCTGCTCGCGTTTAGAGCAAAAAGGGTGCAGCTTATACACCTGAAAATAGGGTACCTAGTGAAAGGTGTGCCTAGTGATTTCTGGACACCTACGAGTTTTCAACATAAAAAATTCATAAATTTTGTAGATGAATAGCTGGTACACAGAAATAATAGTTACCATCGGAGCCGTCTCGTCCTCCGCTTTCAAAAAATATATAGCATGTCTGAGAAGAAGTACCTGGTTGAAGGGTGTGCCCAGTGATTTTTGGAAATTTTCGAGTTTTTAACATAGAAAAATCTATAACTTTTGTAGATGGAAATCTTGTACGCCGAGATAGTTGGAACCGTCTCGTTTTCCGCTTTTAGGAAGTATATACTTTGCCTGGGGTCCGTCGAAAAAAGTGGCGGGTGAAGGGTGGGTGAGACTTTTATAGACTCCACTTGAGCACTCCCATCATAAAAGTCTCACCCACCCTTCACCCGACACTTTTTTAACGAACTCCAGGCAAATATATGTTTTCTGAAAGCGGAGGATGAGTAGGTTCCAGTGGCGACCATCTAGTTGTACATGATGTTCATCAACAAAAGTAATGAATTTTTTTATATCAAAAATTCAAAAATCTCTAGAAATCACCAGGCACACCCTTCACCCAGGCCTTTTTTGAACAGGTGTCAAACATGCTATACATCTTTTGGAAGCGGAGGACGAGGCAATTCCGATGTTAACCATCACGGCGTATAAGATCTTCATCTGCAGAAGTTATGGATTTTTTTTATCTAAAAGTTCGTAAATATTAGGTTGGCACAAAATTTCTGCCGCACCATTTCCAAAAATTCATAACTTCTAAATTGTTCAACCGATTTGACTGTTTTCATTTTTGTATGAAAGTGTAAGTCATGCTCTTTATAATGAATTCTTAGTTGCTTGCTACTGATCACCTTTTGCATAGATAGGAGCGGTAGAAGAAAATTATTCAAAATTCGAATTTTCTGAGTAGGGTCATAAAAAATCGGAGACTTTCAACAAAAATCGGATCAGTCGGTATTGTGGGTTCTTCCACCAGCTTTTTGATAGTGCAAGTAACGCCGATTGAGTGTCAATATGAAAAGTTACGATTTTCGAGCGAGCAGTACAAAAGGGCGAATTTGATTTATTTTGGCATTAGGGAAATCATAACTGTTCATAGAAACGCTCAATCGGCGCAAACTTTGCACTGTTAGAAAAAGCTGGTAGAAAAACCTATATTACTTGCTCCGATTTGACTAATTTTCTTCTACCGCTCCTATCCATGCAACAGATGATCAGCAGCAAGCACCTAAGATGTCATTATAAAGAGCATGACTTACTCTTTCATACAAAAGTAAAAGCAATGAAATAGGTTGGAAAAATCAGAAGTTACGAATTCTTGAAAATGGTGCGACAGAATTTTCGTGCCTACTTAATATTTGGAAGTCACTACCCACGAGCTTCGCCAGGCACTTTTTGAAATGACTCCAGACAAAGTCCCAGACAAACTATATAACTCCCAAAAGCGGAAGAAAAGATGGTTCCGAAGACAACTTTCTTGCTGACGTAGCTGTTCATCTACAGCAGTTGTAATTTTTTTCTTTCAAAAATTTGTGGCTGCTCAAAAATTGCCTGTCTCATTCCCGAAACAGATGTTTTTGCATACACATCTTCTACTCTATAGTATTTTCGAAAACAGACAGTTTTTGTAGGGTCTCCGTTCCTACCTTAATCTTCACAAAAAAAGACAGCAAATGATGGTAGAGAATTGGAAATGATACAACGTTGATTAGGGAGAATGATGAGAGAACACCGTCACTCCCCCCTCCCTCCCCCCCCCCTCCTCCCTCCCTCCCCCCCGCCCCTCCCCTCGGTCGACATTTTACAATTTCTCGATCAAGTGAAACACCCTTTACCGTGGAGGGGCTGCGACCACTGTGACCCCCTCCACCCTGGAGGCGTCATTGTCACCTTATCGCACTTACGGTCGCGGGTTTCAAATGTGAAACTTGCAATTCACCGTAACCTTCTTCTTATAAAACATGTGATATATAATGTAACAACCATTTCTAGTATTTGCCAAAAATTTGATTAAATTATTCAAAAAGCTCTGCTAATACGCAAAAAGTTAAGTAAAATCAGCATGCTTGAAACCTTGTTACACAATTTTCCAGAATTTTTGAAAAATTGTTTCGAAGGGCTTATCTCATACTGGCGTCATATGCGTCCTACCTGAAGCCACTAAAAAGATTTCATGAAAAAAGAGTTACTAAAGTAGTAGGCACATTTTTGGGACATACTATATAAAACTGAGAGTTAGTACAGGTTCTCGTTACATGCTACTTATAAAAACCTTTGTATTTGGACAAGCGCAAAACTTTCCACATAAATGGTTTCGACCAGGGCTCGGCACGAGGTGGCTTCCCGAAACCGCAAAAAAACGAAGTCCCCTTCGATTTCACTGTGAAAGTACGACATCCGCCATGAGATATTAGAACAAAAACACATGAAAAGGAAGGAACAAAGCAAAACAAAAAAAGCCAAAGAATCATCAAAAACGCGCCCGGAGCAGCATTGGCGCCGCCATTCAAATTTTTCGGGCAGCTGTAACTAAGCGGGAGGAGCGGGTTTAGTTTAGGAACCAATTTGTAGGGTTTGGGATGTAGATAAGATTCATGTAAAAAAAGTAAGAAATTTGCGTGAGGGAGGGAAATTTTATGACTTTTCCTTTCCCAAGCCACCTTAGGTGGCTTCCAGGTGGCTTGAAAGCCACCTAACTCCGAAAAAAGTTGAGCACGACTCCATTTCACATAATCATCTCATAATTTGTCGTACATAGTCTTGACTCCTCAGTGCCCATCTACACATCAATTTTGGTGTCATTTCACGTCCGTTTCGCTATAAACAAGCCCTCTGTTTTTTTTTTGGGAGAGCATGCCGCCGGAATGCCGTAGCGTGCCGGCGGCAGCGGACCACAAAAACGATATCCCCTTTGCTTTTTCTCATGAAAACGAAATCCAACTTGCTTGGTAAGCCACCTGTGCCGTGCCCTGGTTCGACATCAGTCGATACCGTAGTAC